AAGACAGACAAAAGAAATCATGGCTACCTTTCAAAACTTGGTAAGTCTGGTAGGAGAAAAAAAATAAACGTGGAAGTCGTTTCGATGCAAACTTATAAAAGTCACTTGACTCCATGCAAAATAAGTGATAGAATTCAAATAGAAGGGAGCAAAGCTGACTGGAATGCAAGTACTTACTCCTGAAATAATTAATTTTCCTCTTTCATGAGGTAGTAGTAGGGAGTCACTAAATTAGGGATGGAAACTTGACATTGGCAACCCGTGAGTTTTAACACATATGGCTTAAAAATACGGTTCATTGGGTTTTAAGAAATGCCAAATATATTCCAATAAGTATACATAATTTAGTATGCGTTTCTCTTGGAATTTTACTTTGGTAAAATATGAGAGGACTATCTTATTCTCTTATTCTATAATATGTTATTGTAAAAACATATGAGAAATATCGTAAGACCCATACACTAGTGGAACCAGCCTCCATCTCCATACTGTTTAATTCCATGTAACCGAGTTTTGTGTAAAGAAGCAACAGGTTTCTAGGCAAGTCTCTGAGAACCCACAACCTAGTTGCTCCAGTTACAGAGATTTTACAGGGTAAGATTGAGGAAATGGTGGCAAATTCACCTACAGTGTTTTCATGTCTGTTTTTAAAATACTTTGGGTACAAAGTATTGAGGACCAAGCTTATTCGAACAAGTGAAAACGATTGCCTCCATTAAAGGTACACTTTACACCTTTAAGACTAGGAACCAAAGGTAAAACAACAAAGGATATGGGAAGCCACTCCCAGCTGTGAACTACCCCTCTCTCCTTTAAGTGTATTGGCATTAACTCTTGGTGCCTGGCCTCTTGTAGAGGATTGGAATAGAGGTTGGATTAATCACCCTTGAGTCTGAAAGTTTCTATGTGAATTTCAGAGAGTTTTGAGCTACAGCATTGGATGAGGATCGTTTGAGACCCAAGAGGAGAGAAACATGACTTATGCATACACAAACAAAAGAGGCAAGATATTCTCACCTGGTCTGAGAATTTTAGAATACAATTCTTCCCACTGATCTTAATTTTACTCCAAGAGGAGGAGGGTTTGGAGGAAGAAAAGGAAGAGGAGGAGGAGGAGGGGGTGGAGGAGGAGGAGGAGGAGGAGGAAGGAAACACTGATAAGTTGGGAGCCAAGAAAAGGTAGCATAGAAGGCACTGAAAACTCACTGGTCTGTTGTTACTGTCCTGGCAACCTGTTTGCTATGCTCCTTGAGAGGTTATGTTACCTCCAGGGTTAGAATGTTCTGAGACACCAAGTAGACAAATCAAAAGACTCTGCCACACAGGCTGCAACTCCATCTCCAAGTCTGCACTGAGTTTTGCTTTGTGTGTGTGTGGGCAGATAGTGTCCAAACTGGACAGAGGAGGAGCCCGAGAGAGAGGGAGGGTGGGCTGGAAAAGGGAAGGCCCCTACCTGCATTTACCTAAGCCACAGCTCCACCCCCACCCCTGTAGGGCAGAAGGTGGGGGGATGCAAATTTGCT